TTAATAATTTAATAATTTTTAATAATTTTAAGAATTTTAATTTTCCGGGAGCCTCCCAGGGCAGAAATTAATAGTTTTAATAATTTTAATAATTTTAATAATTTTAATAATTTTAATAATTTTAATAATTTTAATAATTTTAATAATTTTAATAATTTTAATTTTCCGGGAGCCTCTCAGGGCAGAAATTAATAATTTTAATAATTTCAATAATTTTAATAATTTTAATTTTCCGGGAGCCTCTCATGGCAGAAAATAATATTTTTAATAATTTTAATAAATTTAATAATTTTAATAATTTTAATTTTCCGGGAGCCTTTCAGGGCAGAAATTAATAATTTTAATAATTTTAATATTGTTAATAATTTTAATTTTCCGGGAGCCTCTCAGGATTATTAAAAATATTAAAATTATTAAAATTATTAAAATTATTAAAATTATTAAAACTATTAAAATTATTAAAATTATTAATTTCTGCCAACGTCCTTTTGAAATCCGACCGTAGGGTCTATTTAGAAGCCGTGCTCTTCTAGGTTTATTACATTTAGGTATATGGACCTGTATTATAAATCACAAGCCCCAGCTTCTAAATAGACCCGGTTTTGCTCACACACCCCCCCCCCCGCCCCCTCTAGGGGTAGCGGGGGGGGCTTAATTTTAGGGGGAAGGGACTAGGGACCATGAGTGCGAAGGCTTGAGGGAGATGAACAAGCAAAGGAGCTGGGCTCTGGCAGTTTCAGTGGGGTTTAGGGTTTAGGGTTTAGGGTTTAGGGTTTAGGGTTTAGGGTTTAGGGTTTAGGGTTTAGGGTTTAGGCACCGACACCCCCGCAACCGCAGCCTGACGATACCGCCTCCCCCCATCATCACGAAAAAACCCACGAGAACGGACCCAAAAACAACTGAAAGTTCCCTGTACAGTCTCTATTTTTTTTTTGTTTGGGGGGGGGGGCCTTTTAATTGTAGGTTCTTAAGGCCCCTCCCTACCTAGGGAACCTTAGGGAAGCTTAGGGAGCCTTAGGGAGTAGTGGGGAGTATTAGGGAACCTTGGGTTACATATCCCCCTTGAAGCCACCTCCCTTAAAACCCCCGTAAAGAGACCAAGCCCAAGCACCCGGACCAGGAATGCTAACAAGGAGGGTTTAGGGTTTAGGGTTTAGGGTTTAGGGTTTAGGGTTTAGGGTTTAGGGTTTAGGCTCAAGCAGCAGGGCGGGGTGCCCGTTACTTGGAAGTTCCTGGGTAGCAATAAGAACAGCTAGAATCTAAGGCTGATTACATGGCTGAAAATAAGGGGGCCCCTTAAATAAACGATATGAAGTAGGTTTTATATTTCTTGTATCCCTAAAAGGACACCCAACATATACACTCACCAATATTGAAAAGGAACCTTATATACACTCACCAATAACAGTAATCTCAATCCTGCTGCATATACACCCTGCTTAACCCAGGGGCCCCCCACTTCAGGACCCTTTAAAGAAGACAAGGGACCATATTCAGGGACTATATCCAGAGACCAGCTAAGTACCTTTCGATAGAAAGTACGTCCGTGGTGCTTGCTTGTACAAGCCTACTTATGATTACCCCCCTTTGGCGGCAAACGGAGACACAAGAAACCCCAACACGTATCTCAAAACCCCAAGCCCTACTTAAACCCCATTTAAACCCTACTGAACCCTAAACCACAAAACCCCAAACCCCAAACCCTTAACCCCAACCCTGAACCCTAACCCGATCTTGCAGACCGAGGCTCGTAGAAGCTTCACGGCGTTGAGGTAGATCCGTACGGCCGTGCGCTGTGGTTGAAAGCCATAGTCCCAAAGCATGCGGAAAGAGCCTCCGGTTGAGGGTTGAGGGTTTCAGGTTTAGGGTTTAGGGGTTCCGGCGTAGGGTTGAGGGTTTAAGGTTCAGGATTTAGGGCTGAAGGTTTAGGGTTGGGACTTCAAGGTTTAGGGTCTCGGCTGGACTGTGCCATGACTGCGGGCGTGCGAAACCCGGGCGTGCAACAACCAAGAGGCAGGTAATGCCGCCAGCGACACAGTCGGCAAGAGAAACAGGCTGCAAAGGCTTTTGGCGAAGGCAGGTATACAACTTGAAGTTTCGTAGGTTTTATAGGCACCAAGAAATCAAGTTCTATTCCAAAACGCCCCCCCCCCCCCAGGTCTTCTCAAGATATGGCCGACCCTGGGTTTTCTTAGGTCTCTGAAGCTGCGTGGTGACCCAATGCTGTTCGAGGTTTGAATGCCTTCCAGCACTTTTGGCAGCCCCAACCCCAGACCCCCCGAAACATAACTAAACCCCAAAACCCCAAAGCTTCTAACCTCGAGCCCAAGCGCGTTTGGAAGCCGCCCTGCCTGCGCGCTCGGCGCGCGACCGGGGTTTTGGGCTGCGTTGGAGCCTGTCACGTCAGAAAGCCACAACAACAATCAAGGACAACATCGAGGAGCGCTTGCCCAATGTTGTCACTTCCAAAATGGTGTTCTCGGCTCCTGGCCGAACATGCAGGTTGTTGAATTTTGGCGTCGGCATTTGTCCCTGGATTTTGCACTTGAATGATTCATCCACACGGCTTGGAGTGATGATTCACATGGGGGGCTCGCTAAATCAGGGGGGCTCCGTATTCTGATAGGAGCAAGAATTGAAAGGGACCTAGCTTAGGGAACCTCCTACATGCTGCAGATCATTGCTGTCACAACGTGTCCGGCTGCTAGACACTAATTAGCAAATTTAGATCACGTTAAAGCACCTCAAAACCTTGTGAGCTCTTGGACCCAAACTACGCAGCCTTCCTACCCTCTCGCAGGCAATTTGTTGGCTGTCCTGCCCCCCCCCCCCCCCCAACCTCCCTCTTGGCTAGTGCAGAAGCCTTGCACATGCGGAGTTTGAGGTGCTTTCGGGACCATAGTGCCATGCTCAGTGGAGTCTCTTCAGGCTCTAACACGTCGTGCGTATAAGCCCTCACCCGCCCACCTTGCTTGATGAACGGCTTTCACCAGCCCGTGCAAAAACACAGAAAGAGCCCGTGGCCCTTCAAACCCCACAGCCCGAATTAAGTCCCTAAACTATACTCCCCTTAGAACCTTAATAGAAACAGTAGCTTTAATATCCTCTTGGGTTTTATATGAACAAAATATAAAATAGTTCCCAAGGGGATATAGTAAACCCTAAACACGAAGCCTTAAAGTTGGGCATGAGGGTCCCGCTGGGGTTCCTGCACTTCCCAAGCCGGGTTTGGGGTTTGGGGTTTAGGGAAACTCCCCAACCCCAAGCCCTAATCCCCAAACCCCAAATCCTAAACCCCAACACCCTAAAACCCAAACCCTAAGTAAGCCCTAAAACCCCCAAACCCTCGAATCCCAGAGTTCCCCCTTAGTTTAGGGTTCAGGGGAAACTCCCCAAACCCATAAACCCTAAAACCCCAAACCCTCGAATCCCAGAGTTCCCCCACGCTGGCCTCAGGTAAGCCCGGAAGATGGGTGCGGCCTCTGCCCCAGTGTCCAGGCCGGGCAGCACATCTACGGAGACCTGGGGTTTAGGGTTTAGGGTTTAGGGTTTAGGGTTTAGGGTTTAGGGGGTGGTTTTTATTCGGCTCAGAGTTTAGTTTAGGGTTTAGGTGGAGTAAAAGTTCATGGTGCAGAGGCCCTAAACCCTAAACCTTAAACCCTAAACCCCAAACCCTAAACCCTAAACCCCAAACCCCAAACCCCAAACCCCAAACCCCAAACCCCAAACCCAAAACCCTAAACCCTAAACCCGAACCCCAAAAACCTAAACTTGAGGCCCCCGCCTCCAAGGGATTCTCAGATGGCTCCGAAGCGCGGATTTGCCAGCGGTGCTGTAAGTCCTCGTGGAGAGCAGGGTTTAGGGTTTAGGGTTTAGGGTTTAGGGTTTAGGGTTTTAGGGTTTTAGGGTTTTAGGGTTTTAGGGTTTTAGGGTTTTAGGGTTTTAGGGTTTTAGGGTTTTAGGGTTTTAGGGTTTTAGGGTTTTAGGTTTTTCGGGTTTTAGGGTTTTCGGGTTTTCGGGTTTTCGGGTTTTAGGGTTTTAGGGTTTTAGGGTTTTAGGGTTTTAGGGTTTTAGGGTTTTAGGGTTTGGGGGTTCGGGTTTAGGGCTACATGGTCCCTGAGTATGGGCCCTTAAAGGGGACCCCCTAGAAACCCCTTCGATGCCCTCTACAAACTAAGGGCCCATGCTTCAGAACCCGGCTGCCTGAGTTTAGGCTACAGAGTTTTTGGCACCTTCTCAGTTCTTATATCACCTCCCCCCCCCCCCCCCCCCCCCCTCCTGGACGCAAGAGTGCCGGAGGAAAGCTAATGCCCTTAGCAAGCCGAAGCCCAAAACCCTGCACCCTAACTCGGTATCTCTCACCCCAGGGCCCTCCAAGACTCAACTCGGAACCCTACGCACAGCTTCTGGACATGTGAGTGGAGCATCTTACATTGGGTACGGCCCCCCAATAGCGCCCAACTGTGTTTCAAGTAGCCAAATGAAATCTCAATCTCATGTGGGTTGGCCCTCTAGACTTTCTGAGAGAAAACGCATATCCGAAAGCATTTGCAGCCTAATCCGTAACCGCCCTAACAAAGATGGACATTCAACTCGCAGAAGCCCTAAGAGCCCCCCCCAAATCCCCACAAGAAGCCTTGAACCCACAAAGCTGGTTTGGGCTGAAGGGGCTTTTGGGTTGCCATTTTTTGGGCAGGCTTAGATGCATGAGCTGCAGGCATGTGGGTCCGAGTGTTGAGAGCTGAGGTAGGCCCAGTCCAGACTCTAGATGCTAGAGTTAAAAGCGGTTCCCTGCTTGTGGGTTCAGATCCTTGTGCCTCTTTCGCTTGACGCCTTCATCGTTCCTTCGGCCATGCATCCTTTGCTTTTTCAGGGGGAAAGGTAAGGGTTCGTATTGTTTTGGGCTTAACAGATTGAATGCCTAATGCCATGAGCAAAGCGTCCATCAGCGGGGACACGTGCAGCGGCTTTGGCAGCTCCGCACCCGCCCGATCGAAGGCGAAGAACACGTGGTGGTTCCACGGCGTGTTGGTCACCTTCCCGGTTTTAGGATTTAAGGATTAAAGCCTAAACCTGTAGGGGTTCCACCTTGGATCCTTAAGGTTGTACCCTTGGGTTTGGGGTCGCCCGTTTCAAGGAGTTTTAGGGGAATATACGGGCCATTTTAGGAGTGTATTAAGGGGAACCTTTAGGGATACAACCTTAGGGGTACGAGCCTTCATCCCTTGAAAACCCCAAACCCCAAACCCCACACCCTAAGGGCTCGGGTTTAGGGTTTAGGGTTTAGGGTTTAGGGTTTAGGGTTTAGGGTTTAGGGTTTAGGGTTTAGGGTTTAGGGTTTAGGGTTTCGGGTTTCGGGTTTCGGGTTTCGGGTTTCGGGTTTAGGGTTTAGGGTTTGGGGCTTAGGGCTTAGGGTTTAGGGTTTAGGGTAAACTAGGGGCCATGCGCAAGGCTGTTGGCATCATGTGGCGTAGGCTGGCGAATTGCCGGCTTGGGTGCTGACGGTAGTGAGCTTCAAGCACATCTACTTCTCGCGGGGAACGATGTGGAGATCGACGTATCGTCTTAAGCAAAGATCCTGGTACCCTAAACCTTAAACCCTAAACCCTAGCCCCTAAACCCTCAACCCTACCGCAACGATGCCGCTCCATGCCCCCAATTTGAAATACTGCCAGGTGCCCAAAATGCGCCCTAGGGAAACTTTCCACATGAAAATTGGGTACCCATGCTTCTGAGACCCACATTTCCATGCTGGACTGCTGGTTGCGGGCCATAGGGGTCTAAGGTTCTAGGCTCTATAGGGGTTGGGTTTAGGGTTTTGGGTTTAGGGTTTAGGGTTCAGGGTTCAGGGTTTAGGGTTTAGGGTTTAGGGTTGAGGGTTGAGGGTTGAGGGCTTAGGGTTTAGCGGGATACTGTTTCGGGGTCTGGGGGATTAGTCGCTCAGGCACATTTGCATCGTTTACTTCATGATCTGAGCCTTGCCGCGCCTCGCATATGCCGTGGCTGTGCACCTTCTCATCTCCACAGAAGTAGATCTGGATGGGATTCTGGTGATACCTGCCCAGGCCCCTACCTCAAGGTGCGTGTTTAACCTTAGGTAGGGGCATAAGCAACCTAAACAAGGTTCGAACCAGCCATCACTATAGGCACGCCGTGCACGTGGTTTAAATAAAAGAGTAACGAATACAGTCGAGCGCGTCTGTTGTGAGGAGCTCTTACGACTGCTCACAGCAGGGTTTCTGCTTCCAACTTGAACCCTGATGTCGGTAAGGGATTTCCCGCAATGTGCCAAGCCAGACCCCTTGCTCGTCTGTGAACAGCTAGCAGCTAGAGGCCCTGACTGCAACCATGAAAGCCGAACCCTTCCTAGCCTTGGGGGCTTGAAAAGACATGGCGGGTTCTGAGCCGTGTCGTGGTTTAGGGTTCAGGGTGCAGGGTCCTGCAAAGTTCTTTTTTGATCTGCTAGCTAAGGCTCCAGCCCGGCACTGCTTGGCGTAGTCAGCACTCGAACGCCTGGGCTGCAAGTTGCTAGGGTTTAGGGTTTAGGGTTTAGGGTTTAGGGTTTAGGGTTTAGGATTTAGGGTTTAGGGTAACCCTAAACAGATTGTTTAGGCCTTTAAGCCTCAGGTTGGCGCAATTTAAGGCCTCGGAGAAGTAAATCGTCACGCGCAAAGATCCCTAACCTAAACCCTAAACCCTAAACCCTAAACCCTAAACCCTAAACCCTAAACCCTAAACCCTAAACCCTAAACCCTAAACCCTAAACCCTAAACCCTAAACCCTAAACCCTAAACCCTAAACCCTAAACCCTAAACCCTTTACCTAAGAGTGGAACATGCAACCTTTCCCAACAAACATCAAGGAATGAATTGTAGGGCGACCTCGAGTTTCAGGGGGCCATGCTTCCTGGTTTAGGGTTTCGGGCTTACTGGGCTTAGGGTTTAAAGGGCTTAGGGTTTTTAGGCTTTAGGGTTTAAGGTCTAGGGTTTAGGGGCCCTAAAAGTTTATGGGGGCGGGACTTTCTCAAGTGACTTCGTGCTGTTTGGCATTCTGGCAAGACATGTGTAGACAAGGACAACTCGATGGCGCTGAAAAGCTTTGCATGGGGGTTTGGGCTGTAGTGGCTTAGGGCCCTAAACCCTAAACCCTAAACCCTAAACCCCAAACCCTAAGCCCTAAACCCTAAACCCTGAACCCTAAACCCTAAACCCTAAACCCTAAACCCTAAACCCTAAACCCCTGGGTTTAGGTCTGGCGCCACCTCGAGTCACGGTCCACGGAAAAACTCCAACCTACCATGAACACCACTTGAGCCCTAACCCTGGTAACCCTGGCAACCCTGGTAACCCTGGTAACCCTTAAACCCTGGTAACCCTAAACCCCAAACCCTAAAACCCTAAAACCCTAAAACCCTAAAACCCTAAAACCCTAAAACCCTAAAACCCTAAAACCCTAAAACCCTAAAACCCTAAAACCCTAAAAGCCTAAAAGCCTAAAAGCCTAAAAGCCTAAAAGCCTAAAAGCCTAAAAGCCTAAAAGCCTAAAAGCCTAAAAGCCTAAAAGCCTAAAAGCCTAAAACCCTAAAACCCTAAAACCCTAAACCCTAAACCCTAAACCCTAAACCCTAAACCTAACGACCACGAAGCACCAATGCCCTGAAGCTTCCTGTGACAGTGAAGCCCTTCATTGCCAGAGCCGAGGGACGGCCAGACGCTACGCCGAGTGCCTCCCTCACCTGCCCACCCGTGCTGCTGATTCGTTTTGGTGTCGGGGGGTTTAGGGCTTAGGGTTTGGGTTTAGGGTTTTGGGGTTAGGGTTTAGGGTTTGGGCTTTGGGGTGTAGGGTTTAGGGTTTAGGGTTTATTCGGGGTTCAGGGGGTTTTCGGGCTGTTTTCGGGCTTTGGGGTTTAGGGGCTTTTGGGTTTCCAGGCCTTTGGGCTTCAGGGCTGCCTGGCTGTTTCTTTGCTCATGTTTTGGGATTCGGTGGACTCGGCGCGTAGGGTTCATTCAGGGAACTGGGGTCTAAGGTGTAAAGCGCTCTCGCGCACGGGATGTCGGGTGCCGTGCTTTTAGGGCTTTGGGCTTCAGGTTCTGGGGGCTACACTTCAGGATGTATCCGCAAACCCTGTCAACTAACTCGATCCCCTAAATTCAAGCATTCCACCTTGAACCTGGAAGCTGACAAAAAAAGAGGGATAGCACTTAGCAAACAAACTCGAAAATTCAAGACTCCGAAAGCCTTCAAAGCCAAATTCCTAAGATCTCTGAAGCCTCTGAGAGCCCTGCTGCTGGCTCGTAAAGCGATTGGTAGTAGGTACCCCACATCCCTGTACAGCAGCCCTCTAAGGGGAGCTCTGGAGGGGCCGAATTCCCTTATTCTCTACCAAAGAATCCTCAGGCCTAAGCCCTAAACCTTTGGGCATGTAGGGGGTTGAAGGGGTCTGAAGGCCCCTGAACACAAAGGTTTAGGGTTTAGGGTTTAGGGAAAGCCCTATAAGCCTTAAACCCTAAGCCTTAAACCACTCTAAGCTGTGATCCCGAGACTGCAACCTGATAGGCTGCTCGCCTAAATCCTAAACCCCAAACCCCAAACCCCAAACCCTAAACCCTAAACCCGAAACCCGAAACCCTAAACCCTAAACCCTAGACCCTAAACCCCCCCAACCCAGAAAAATCTGCTTATCTGGGCCTCTTTGGCAGAGAGCCGTGGCACGGGCTCCTGCGGCGGTGAGCCCCCTCCTAAACCCAGGAGTAACCTAGGAATGAAAAGGGTTTAGGGTTTAGGGTTTAGGGTTTAGGGTTTAGGGTTTAGGGTTTAGGGTTTAGGGTTTAGGGTGCTTACAAGGGAACCACAACCCTAAGCAAAGGGAAATTAAGGGCCTACTCTGGGTCCTTGCCTCCCATCTTGTGCTTGTGGTGTCAAGCTGAGGATGCCAAATTTCAGGAGAAAGGAGGGGCGCTCGCCACGCTAGTTGGTGTTTCCTTCTCCAAAAACCAAGAGGGTTTAGGGTTTAGGGTTTAGGGTTTAGGGTTTAGGGTTTAGGGTTTAGGGTTTAGGGTTTAGGGTTTAGGGTTTAGCTTCATTATTCCTACTAAGTCAGGAAACCCAGAGAGTCTAAAGTTCAGCTGTTGGCGAAGTTGGTTCATCCATAGCCTAGCAAATAAGGAAAGCCTTTTGCAAAAGGAAACTGTAGAAGGAAACCTGAAGGGAATAAGGGAAGTTCCTAGGATTTCATATAGAAGTTCATAAGGTGTTCATAGGGGGCCTGAACCTTTGTCATGTTCCCCCTTCTTTCCAGCAGCTCCTTTATAGGGATTTCACTAAGGGGTACTCTCATCGGTTACCCTACCCCAGCTCCGGTTCCGAAACCCCACTTTTGATGCTTCGAAATACTTCTTGCAAAGCCGCACGCCGAAAACCTGCCACAGGCGCGCCCCGACAAACTTAAAACATCGTAAGGCCTAGCACATCTTTTACGCAACCTTCGTGCGCCGAAGTTTCTTCGCACAGCCCAAACCCAAAGCAAACGCAACAAACCCTGATGCACAAGCGGCCCTAGCTCGACCTTCAACAGCTCTGTGCCCGAAACATATCCTGAAGCTTCAAAACCAAAACAAACCCCTTTGGCTCTAAACCATACACGCCAAAAGAACCTCAAACCTCAAAGGCCCCCAATAAACCCTCCAACCCCTTCGAGCTCTCAAGTTCTCAACTCTCAAAACCCAAGCCCAGAAACCCTGAAACCATGAAACCCTCACATCCTGAAACCCTTCAACCCCTCCAAACCCTAAACCCTAAACCCGAAACCCTACACCCTACACCCTACACCCTACACCCTACACCCTAAACCCTAAACCCTAAACCCCCTACAGCCCAAAAGAAGCTCGGGCTGCGACCTCGGGCCACCAGGGTGGTGGTGCGTCCAGATCTACCAGGGCCATGCCTGGCTTTGGAGACCCAAGGGGTTTAGGGCGTTGGGGGGTTTAGGGTTTAGGGTTTAGGGTTTAGGGTTTAGGGTTTGGGGTTTAGGGGGTTTAGGGGGTTTAGGGGTTTAGGTTTAGGGGGTTTAGGGGGTTTAGGGGGTTTAGGGGGTTTAGGGGGTTTGGGGGTATTTAGGGGGTTTAGGGGGTATTTTGGGGGTTTAGGGGTTTAGGGGTTTTTAGGGCTTTGGGGGTTTAGGGGTTTAGGGGTTTAGGGCTTTGGGGGTTTAGGGGTTTAGGGGTTTAGGGCTTTGGGGGTTTAGGGTTTAGGGTTTAGGGGTTTGGGGTTTAGGGTTGTGGGTTTTGGGTTTGGGGGTTTTAGAGCTTTAGGGCTTCAGGGGTTTGGGGGTTTAGGGTTCAGGGCTTTTGGGCTCAGAGTCTGCAGTTGTTGGTGTTTGATGTTTTTCTGCATGTCTGGGCATGGTGCAAGAAGGGTTGGTTGCACTGCCATCATATCCGAGCCCCAAAACCCATACGCGCAACAGAAACTGAGTTCACCAATTCAAGGCCCCTTCCGAAGCTGCCTTTAAGAGGTCTGCAGAAAGACCTAAGCCTCTAAAAAACCTGAAAACAGCAAAGGTGGGATGTTCCACCTTTTTACGAACCGTCCGGGGTACTATAATCCCTATTCAGGAGCTGTTGGTATAAGGGGGAACATCCCAACCCTAAAGCCTGGTGCTGCCGAGCTGCGCACGGGGTACTTGAATGCATGGCTGGCCTCAGGGGGCTTAGGGTTTAGGGTTTAGGGTTTAGGGTTTAGGGTTTAGGGTTTAGGGTTTAGGGTTTAGGGTTTAGGGTTTCGGGAACCAACCCCTATAGTTGCCTCATGGGATCTCGCATGGGTGACGTAGCCTTCCAGAAATTCGGCTCCGGGGCAGTCCTTGGTGGCACAGTAACCATGCCATAAGAAGGGTGCCGGCTTAAGGCTAAGGGTAGGGTTCAGAGTTCAGGGTTTAGGGTTTAGGGGTACTTTTGTAAGGAAACACGAACCCACAAAGGGGCGAAGGGGCTATGCCTGGGCTGAGAATCTTCCGCCTCGCCAACCACGAGCCGCAGCAGCGCGACGATGAAACTGCCAACCATGCCTTGGTGCTAGGGTGCCCCCCACCACCTTGCCGGAAACAAGGAGGAACCCTAAACCCTAAACCCTAAACCCTAAACCCTAAACCCGAAACCCTAAACCCTAAACCCTAACCCCACGTTATGGGAGCCCTAAGCCCATACAGGGAACAAGGGTACCACTGGGGCCATGAAGTTTGCGAGCGGACTCCTAAACAACGTTATCTTCTTTAAGAGTCTAGGGTTTAGGGTTTAGAGAGTCCAAAAAAAACGGCTCGCACGGAATATCTGGAAGGTACCTGATACCCGGATTCAGGAGCTATCAAGTTTCTGATTTTTCTGGGGAGTCTGCTTATCTCGGCTCGCCCTTCGCAATCACCAAACATGCCACTTAGGGTTTAGGGTTTAGGGTTTGGGGTTTGCCTACCAAGATTTTATGAGGGTTTCTTATGGGATACGAAGTAGACCTGCTAAGTCAGCCAAGCAAGCCCTCGCACTTAAACCCCACGTGAAGCATAGTCAAGGCCCTCAGACTGAACCCCTAAACCCTAAACCCTAAACCCTAAACCCTAAACCCTAAACCCTAAACCCTAAACCCTAAACCCAAAAATCTTTGCCCACCAAGCGAGAAGCAGATGCCATGGATGCAAATGGAGCTCAGAAGCCTCCATGCCTGGCAAGCAGAAAGCGCCTTCTTCTGGAGGCCGTGGGAGATCATAACTTCCCTCTCGAGGCAAGGGGCTGCGCTGGAGTTGAGGGTTGAGGGTTGAGGGTTGAGGGTTGAGGGTTGAGGGTTGAGGGTTGAGGGTTGAGGGTTGAGGGTTGAGGGTTGAGGGTTTAGGGTTTAGGGTTCATGAAGGTGCAGGCGAGCTCTGTTTTTGTGGCCGCCCCGCCCCCCGCCCCCCCGCCCCCCCTACCCCCTTACACACACAACACAAGTTTCGGTGCCTCTTCAAAGCCCCTCTGCGCAACCTCGAGCCTGTGCTGTTGCGACAAGCTTAGGGGCTGAATACCCTAGCCCCCCCCAAAAAAGTTAACCTTTTAAATATAGTAGGATTGACAAAAACAAAAAGGTTGAAGCTTACCTACCCAGTCACTAAGCTACAGAGACACGCTCCTCGCTCCGGACTGTTTGGCCGACATCTGCAAAGCACTTCTGTGCGCTGAACGCCAGGTTCTTGCCTTGCCTAAACCCTACAAGGAGGTTCATGGTACTTAGTAACCCAATTTTAACTGTACTTATAACCCAGTAGGGTTCAGGGTTAAGGGTTTAGGGTACTTCTTAACCAAATATAACTGTACTTCTAACCCACCTATAACCCCTTAAGTGCCCTGGTCTGGTTCTAAGTACAGTTGTACGTACTGTTATAATTGGATAATAGGTACCATGAACCTCCAAGTAAGCCCAAAGATGCTGAATCATTTCATAACATCCGGCTACTCGCAGCAATCATCTGCCCCCTTTGCCACACTGCTTTTTACAGTGTGGCCAGCAATGCTGTACAGTTCATTGAACCCTAAACCCTAAACCCTAAACCCTAAACCCTAAACCCTAAACCCTAAACCCTAAACCCTAAACCCGAAACCCTAAACCCTAAACCCTAAACCCTAAACCCTAAACCCTAAACCCTAGGATCTCTTTAAGGAGAAGCCCGACCAGAAGTCCTTGAAACTCCTTTTCTCGTGGGCGACCTGCTCCCTACTTGGGTGTTCATGGTACTTATTAACTCAGTATAACTGTACTGATAGCCCACTTATAAGCCCCTGAAGTGCCCCAATATGGTTATACGTGCAGTTCTGAGTACATTTGAAATTGGAGAATAAGAACCATGAACCTCCCCCTAAACCCAAACAAAACCCATTTTCTGGGGCTTCGTACTTTGGGGTACAATGGCTGCAGAGCCTTTGGGCTTTGAGGTTGCAAGCTGTCGCCCTTCCCAGAATCTGCGATTACACCCTAAACCCTCAACCCTCAACCCTAAACCCCTCATATCCTTCCCTAAACCCTAAACCCTAAACCCTAAACCCTAAACCCTAAACCCTAAACCCTAAACCCTAAACCCTAAACCCTAAACCCTAAACCCTAAACCCTAAACCCTGGATAGAAAGCGGGGCCGGCCCTAAAGCTCACTCTTCTGCCCTTTCTCTTTGCGGCCTTCTTCCTGAAGCGGAGATTGGGGGCTTCAAGTGGCTTGGGGGCTATAAAGGTCGCAGGTTTCAGGATTCAGGGCTTAGGGTTATAGGGTTTAAGTTTAGGGGTGTGGGGCTGAGGGTTTAAGGTTTAGGGGCATGCGGCCCAGAACGAAGTCAAGCATAACCGTATAGCCAGAAAGGACCACAAAGGGGCAGCGTACTACCCTGCAATAAATTTGCCCCGTACCTATCCCTGCAACCAATGAACTACGAATAACGAGTTGCGAAATGTGCACCGTCATCTCTCTTGCAAATGCCCCACAAGTTACGAACTATGAGCTGTGACAGCTGCACAGTCACCACGTAGAAACGCGATTTTTGATATATGAACGATTTTTGATCCATGTTAGCTTGGGGCAGCCCGAATAGTACCTTGGTAGGTAGCACCTTGCACCAGCACAGCCTCCAGCTTTTTTCAACGAGAAGGATGCCGTCCTGAACATCCAACTCTCTCTTCATGCCGATTTTCTACGGTCTCCGGTGCAAGACCGTGCTAGTAAAATTCCGCGCCAGGCTGTGCAAGAGTGTCTATAATTAGTGGTCTGTCTTTAAAAAGGGCAAAAATCGGACCACTTTCTTGCGCTGCGGCTGGAAGCTCTAGGCACCCCGTGAACCAGGGTAGGTCGTGGAGGTCTCAGCCTTACGCATTCGGGTTTTAGGGTTTAGGGTTTAGGGTTTAGGGTTTAGGGTTTAGGGTTTAGGGTTTAGGGTTTAGGGTTTAGGGTTTAGGGTTTAGGGTTTAGGGTTTAGGGTTTAGGGTTTAGGGTTTAGGGCTCTGCGGGTTTACCTTGGACACTAAGGTGCTGCCCATGGGTTTTGGGGACCCTTTTTGCAGGTCCTTCAGGTAGTAGATGGGCCATATTAGGAGCAAAAAACCCTAAACCCTAAACCCTAAACCCTAAACCCTAAACCCTAAACCCTAAACCCTAAACCCTAAGGGGGAACCATCAGGGCTACAACCTTGGGGGTACGAGTGTAAAACCCTTGAAATAGAGCCCAAAGAGCTGCCGCAGCTTCACGTTTCAAACGGTGCCTCTGGAGGCACCCGAGCTGCATGGCCTAAGCTCCTGCTGGGCTGGAATGCGAGGCTTCGGACTCCTAGACGCACGAAAGCTGCAATGTATCTAGATGAAGCCCCAAGAGCTGGGGTTTAGGGTTTAGGGTTTAGGGTTTAGGGTTTAGGGTTTAGGGTTTAGGGTTTAGGGTTTAGGGTTTAAAGGTTTAGGGTTTAGGGTTTAGGGTCTAGGGTCTAGGGTCTAGGGTTTCGGGTTTAGGGTTTAGTCAGAGCCCAGGATGTGCGTCCTCGCTCCGCCCAGCAGAATATCATCCTAAGGATGACTTCACAAGGCGAGCACGCAGCTGTCTAGTAACTTACTTCTCCAATAACCAAGGGGAAAAAAGGTTAAACTTTAATATTCCTGCTAAAAAAGGAAACCCAAAAAGTTTAAAGTTCAGCTAAAGGCGAAGTAAGGTAAGAGTTGAGATCAGTTGTTAAGGCCGGGGGGAGCTCAGAACCCGGCAAACTCCCCCCACCCTTCTCTGCAATTGTGAATAGGGTCCTCTGGGAACTCCGCAGCGCAAGGAACTTCAACTGATATGAGGGAACTCAGTGGTTGTGATGCAGAAATGCTTGGTTTCATGGCGCGACCTGGAGCCCTATAAAAAAAACCAAAGGAACCCTTGCAAACTTACAGCGTGCTAGAAGAAGAGTGGAGGTGTGGATCCTGGCAGTACTCACACCCTTCTTCACTCCCCTCATAACTTGGCTGCCCAGTAGCCGGTAACCATGTCACAATAAGGGCACCCTTTTTTTGGGTTGGGTACTTCATATAAGGGAACCTTGAACCAAAAAAAGGAAGGGCAAAGATGGTACCATTGGGCTACCAAGTGTAAGGGTAAAGCACCACTGTGACAAGCGGACGCTTCACAGCTGTGTCTTCGACGCAACCGACTTCTCCGGGTTCTTCGTCTCCTCCTGTGCACCCTGAAGCTTCGGCTGTGGATCCTGGAGCTTCGGCTCCTGTGCATCCTGAAGCTTCGGCTCCTCAGGGGCTGTGTTCATGACCTGCGCCTTCAGCTTAGCATTCTCAGCCTGCAGGCGCTGGATGGTCTGACTCTCCGTGAGCTCGGCATCATACTCTTGGAGCTTTCCAACCAGCCAGCTCTGACTTTTTTTGGGCGCTGGCGCGTCCCACCTGCGGCGGTGGTCCGCACCAATCTTGAGCATGTTTACGGTGAAGCCGCCCTTGGAGATCATGTTGAGCACGGCAAAGCCCACGGCGTTGCTCTTCGCATCCCCGAGGAGGCCGAGGCCTTCTGCCGAGATCAGCCACCAGCATGGAAAGGCCGGCCACGTGAACCAAACCGCACACATCAGGCGGAGGTAGTAGTACGGGAGGTCACGGTGGGCACGGCACCCTCCTGCCCAGAAGTAGCACATGGCAAGGAAGGGCATTTGCACGAGGCAGAGGAAGAGAAGGCAGAAGGTCGTGATTCCAATGGCAATGCCCTTGTTGGTGATCACCAGGATTGAGACGTCCCAGGAGGACTCGAAGAGCTCCCACGAGGCATCCTCAAACAGGAAGCCGTCGTGCAAGGAGCCGATCCAGCCACAGATAAGGAAGGCGTGGGTGAAGAGGACCACGAAGACGACGTTGAGCTTGTAGCAAGGAACATAGGGAGCGATGAGAACCACGAGCTCTGCCTGCATCAGGGAGCAGGTGAAGGCGTAGCCGAGGTACCGCAGACCATTGACATTGCCAATGTGCAGCCAGCGGAACACGGAGAAGAAGGCCGCGGCCGCCTGCGCAACGCACATGGCAATGTTGAGGTTCCGACAGTAGGTGATTCTATCCGCACACTTCTTCTTGGGCATATCTGGCCAGGTCTTCATCAAAGTCCACCACTCGTCCACGGCTGGAGAGATGTAGTCCCGAAACATGCGCCACGAAGCGTTCATTGGCTTCTTGACATCTGTCCTCACCACGATGCGGAGGGCGAGGTAGGTGAAGAAGAAACCGAGAATGATGCTCGTAAGACTCTCGATCGCGAACGCCGGGTAGAGTGGGCCGCATGCACGAAAAAGCTCGAAGTCGTTGAGCTCTTCCAAGACCATCGCCGGATTAGTGCTGCAATCGGGCTGAGAAGCTGCTCCGGGGCTTGTCAAGATCTTGAGCCAAGGGTTTAGGGTTTAGGGTTTAGGGTTTAGGGTTTAGGGTCTAGGGGTTTGGGGCAGCTTCGGAGCATACTTGTGTGAGGTAATACTTGCCCGGGGCGGAACATGGTTGAAGAAACTGCATAAAATCTGCTTTTTTTTTTTGGCGGGGGTTTAGGGTTTCGGGTTTGGGGTTTAGGGGGGATGGGACGTTTGAGGAGTTTGGGAGTTTAGGGGGGCGGCTCGCCCCTGGTGATCGCCGCCGCAAAACACCCTGGCCTGCCGACTGCAAGACCAAAAGCCTGAATCACAAAGCTGCCTCAACCCTAAACCCTAAACCCTAAACCCTAAACCCTAAACCCAAAGCCCAA